CTACGAACATGGGACAGCCGGCTTTACTTCCCCTCCGAAGGAAGGCGTACGAAGGATTTTTTCGTCCTCAATAATCCACGGCTTCGATGAGGTTTGAACCCGCCAACTTGGGTACAACAGTCCAGTACGCTAACCGTTACACCATCGCCGCCATTGCACATTGTTATGTAAAATAAGAACGGGAATATTTTTGAGACCCATATGTTATGTTTATTTACGATATGGAGTCGTGCAACTAATAATTGCGGAGTACAAATATACTTGGATACCTAGAGATAGTAGTTATGAAAGAGAATAATTTTTTCGATATGAGTTGTTTTACTTTCTGTACTGTACGTATCATGTATCTTTATGAGAGTGACAATGAAATGTGTGTATCATAACACTACCATATCCCCTTTAAGAGGCTGTGCATCATCTTCGTGGTTTCCTCTTATGACGCATCTCGACATACAATTCGCCCGCACTCAATTAAAGGAAGGAAAACATCCCGAGGAAATTCTTGCGGAAAGTACACACTCGAAATAAAACGTTACATGAACAAGCGCATGTATGACAACCATCTAACACCATCAAAAATAAGCATAGCTATATATATAATAATGAATAGATAATGCATTGCACGCTTTATCTATTACATTCTAGTTTTCTTGAGCTCCGAAATCATTGGCCCTTCTCCTTTACAAACACAATCCAATTTTGAGTAAAATATAGCAACTTGCGTTCTTGACATTTAATAATGATGATATTATATTTTCCATCTCAAAAAAATTCTATTTGCTCCGACAAAGGAGCAACAGGGTTTCTTAGATCGTTCTGACATCGAAAAACCAAATCCGCAGTCCTCTCCTCTCTAGTGAAATGAGAGCTGCAGAAAACGATAACTTTATTACGTGCAATATCAAACACCGTCGAAGCTAATTTTTAAGTTTAAAGGGAAGCCAACTTTTTAGTTTTATTGATTAACAGAAGACTGAGTACGAAGTTTATGCAGATAAAGAAAATGTTTTGACAGAATAATGTTATTGTTTTTTTTCCTACTGTAATTTTATTGTTTTCCTACTGTATGAAGAAGTTCTTATATAATGGATTCCAGGAAAAAATAGTGTGAATTTTATTAGATAAGTATGTAATTGTATCATGTTTTGTAGACTAATGGTAAACGATAACTTCATATCAACTCGGAAATTGAAAACTATTTTAAATTTTACAAAATAGTAAATAATTGAAAAAATATAATCCTTTTCAATGCCTGGTTTAAACTACATCTCAATTACTTCTCTCTATTCAATCCTCCAATTTTATGTTGTATATTTTGAATGAGCTGTATAAGGAAAATGTAACATGTTGGAAATTCCCCATTCTCTGAGATAATAAATTGACATGATACTTCGAATAAAGGAAATTACACTTAATGCACTGCATTAGCTAAGAATATATGATGAATATATTTTACATGGAAAAATATGAACTTGACAACGATGAGAAAATGTAAATAAACATCGGAAACACAATATTTTTATCGTTGATGAAGTAATAGTTGTGATGGATATATGAAAGGCGTCACCAGATCACGCAGGTACAACAATGCGGACAAGGCGGTACGAGTATTTAAAGGGCTTTTACGTATTACCCAACTACACGAACCAGAAAAAGAAAAATCTAAGTTGCTTGTGGATCTTGCTTAGAAATATTTGCATCGAAAATTACTTTAGAGAAACGAAAAGTTTACTTGACACAGATAAATCTGATAAAATTAATCATGATATTCCAATTTATGTAGATCTAAACAACACATGAAGCACCATCCAAAGCCGTTGCAACAACACATATTTCCGGGTAAACATGTTCATTTGCATAGATTCTTTAGGCAGGCATATCTCATTTTGGGATTTTCATATTTAAAAACGTGGCGGACAGTATTGCACGTTTCAAAGTGTGTCGGGATTTTTTGGATCAAATAAATCCTACTTGTTTCTCAGCGGCGTGAAACCAAAAAAGGAGATAAAAGCTATATTGAAGAGTTGGTATCAATGTTGTCCTTGATTCCACGCAACCTCAAACGTTCGTTGTATTCCCATATGAGTTCTCCTTGAATTCCTAATCATATCCCGAATATCATTGAGCACACGAGATAAATTCTAAATCGATTTTAAAATATTTCGCTGCTAAGACACAATGAGTAATTTCGTGTTCGTCCTCTTGACGAATTTCACCCAAACATTGAAAAAACATTTTATTTGAGAAAAATGACACAAATTGCTTTCTTTGCGTTAATTGCTATTTGTGATGAAATATATTCATTTGTTTTGTATATAATAAGCAATATATATGTTTCTGGGTGATTATTATATGTTTCTGAAATGCAAATTTGGCATAGAAAGTATTTTTTCATATCAACGTTTGAATGGTTATTGCGGTTCAACCATTCGATATCTCGACGGAGATTACTAGCCAAAGTATGCTTAAAATCGATTTAAGAGTGTATTTTCGAAGTTTCGTTATTTCTTACTTGGCCATTCTGTACATATTTGTGAATTTGCAAAACGCCATGCTAAAAAATAGCGTACGGTCGAACGTGCTTTCGGCCCTCAGATGTCAGGATCTGTGCTGTTCTTATCGCTTCGGCTGCCGTGCACCGACCTGGTCGTGGTGGTGGCCGGGCGGCTCGGGGCAGTGCGTGGTGGCGTTGGCGCCCGTCGGCCACAGGCCCGGGTCGGCGCGGTGCGGCCGGTCGATGGCGGTGTGGTTGACCATGGCGACGATGGCCACGCTCAGCACCACGTTGGCGCCGTACGAGATGGCGAAGCAGGCGGAGGCGAGGGCGGCGAAGACGAAGCGCGCGGGCACGCGGCACGGCCCCTCCGGCCCCAGCAGGATGTCCTCGTCGCCGCGCTCCGACGGCCCGCACATGGCGGAGGGCGCGCGGGCAGTGAGCGCGGGCGGCGCTGGGCCGGCTCGCTCGCTCACTTCCTCTGCCTCCCATCGCCCCCCGCTGCGCCCCCACACCAGCGCGCTTCGCACCGCCCTTCCTCTAGGCCCTGCCCCGCTTCATCCCACCGCTCACTGCCGCGCCACGCCCTTCCCCTCCCCAACCGCCACGTCCGCCCCGTCAGGCCTTGCCACGCTCCGGCACCACTTGCCACCCCCGCCATGTCCTTCCCCGTCTCGCCACGCCCCCTTCATCTCACCACTCACTGCCACGTCACACTACTTCCCGTTCCGTTCCGTTCAGCCCCTTTCTTTCTGGACTCACATTAGAGTTGTTGCCCTGTCCTCCCCTCACGAATTTAAACATCGCTCGTCTCAATTTTCTTTGCGTGTTAATTACTACAGTTGTTGATGATCTGACTCCAAAAACATAAATACATTTAAATAATAAACGTGTAATATGCGCAACAGTCAAAAGGGCCCATGTATTTTTGAGGGGTGTTGTGGTAGCTGGATTGATGCAA